CGATTGAGAATGTGTGTGTGAATATGTAAGAGACTGAGTGTATGTGTGTGTGTGTGTACTGCACTTTTTAGTGAGGCTTGTCACGTGACCACAGACAGTAACACACTCCTCTAATGGAGTTATTGTGTCTGAATGTGGGCATGTGTGAGGTGTAGTCAGACAGTTCACTGGTGTAATAGTGTGTGTCTGCAGTGCACAATACATCACAGCTCATACAATCGTAAAATAAAATCAGAGCCTTTACCTAAGAGGATCAATATCCGTGTGTGTGTGTGTTAATGTAGAGTGTGTGTGGTGCGCGGACACAGACTCGGCCCTTTTGATGACGAGCAGTACCGGAAGACCTCCGTGTCCATCATGCAGAAGGAAGCTTCAGCCGGAACCGTCATCTACAGCTACAGCCCTCGAGGATTCAACATCAACGGAAACACAGTGTTTGGGCCGTGTGCTGTCCTGCCGCCCGCCATCCTGCAGTGGAACGTGAGCATAGACACACACACATACACACACCCTCTGAACACTGACTGTAACGCTGTAAACACTGACTGTAACACTGTAAACACTGACTATAACACTGTAAACACTGACTGTACTAAACACTGACTGTAACACTGTAAACACTGACTGTAACGCTGTAAACACTGACTGTAACACTGTAAACACTGACTATAACACTGTAAACACTGACTGTACTAAACACTGACTGTAACACTGTAATCACTGACTATAACAATGTAAACACTGACTGTAACGCTGTAAACACTGACTGTACTAAACACTGACTGTAACACTGTAAACACTGACTGTAACGCTGTAAACACTGACTGTAACACCGTAAACACTGACTGTAACGCTGTAAACACTGACTGTAACGCTGTAAACACTGACTGTACTAAACACTGACTGTACTAAACACTGACTATAACAATGTAAACACTGACTGCAACGCTGTAAACACTGACTGTAACGCTGTAAACACTGACTGTAACACCGTAAACACTGACTGTAACGCTGTAAACACTGACTGTAACACTGTAAACACTGACTGTAACACTGTAAACACTGACTGTACTAAACACTGACTGTAACGCTGTAAACACTGACTGTAACGCTGTAAACACTGACTGTAACACTGTAAACACTGACTGTACTAAACACTGACTGCAACGCTGTAAACACTGACTGTAACACTGTAAACACTGACTGCAACGCCGTAAACACTGACTGTAACGCTGTAAACACTGACTGTAACACTGTAAACACTGACTATAACACTGTAAACACTGACTGTACTATGAAAACACTGACTGCAACACTGTAAACACTGACTGTAACACTGTAAACACTGACTGTAATGCTGTAAACACTGACTGTAACACTGTAAACACTGACTGTACTAAACACTGACTGCAACGCTGTAAACACTGACTATAACACTGTAAACACTGACTGTAACACTGTAAACACTGACTGTAATGCTGTAAACACTGACTGTAACACTGTAAACACTGACTGTACTAAACACTGACTGTACTAAACAACTGACTGCAACGCTGTAAA